CTATGGTTCCTGGGCCTAGAGACAGCGGGGCTTGAAACACAGTTTGAAATTACTGATTCTTAACAGGAAGAAAAAGGGAAATAAAAACAACCCTGGAAATATAATGACTCTGTATTATTTTATCACAAATAAATTTTGCTGTAATGACTTCTTCTGCTTAGCGTTAGTCCCTTTGTCACTACAAGCAGTGGCCACAATCCAGTTAAATTCTGCAGGAAAGATTTGGGACTTCACCATAGCCAAATGCAAGGTAGGCTAACTGATGTTCACTAAAGCCATGGAGAGTGTTCACTTCACCCAGAAAGAGAGAAGATTATGAAATGCTAGAAATTTAAATGCAGCCTGTATTTGTTGATACATACATGCATGTTTTATAAAGAATTTGAACATTATTAGAGTCAAGCTTACAGGTTTTCAAATTAAGCTGTGACATTACCCTATATATCCAAGATTGGATGTTCCAGTTGAACCTATGGCAGTGAATAGCTGTACTGATAACCGAGTTCAAAAAAAGATAAATCTGTTCTTTACAGGCACAGGCATTGGCATGGCTCTGGAGGATGAAACACCCATGAGAAAATGGCCTTTACCTGATAATTCATTGTCCTGCAAGTGGAAACTCCTACCTTGTAGGTTTGGAAGCACGTGACAAAAAAAAGAGCCTTCCAAAAGTTAAAAAATGTGGTTCTTAAGAATAATTGCATCATGTTACACCAAGAAATTTAGAAATATTACTTCTCTGCTTAGGGGTCATATGGGAGAAGAGATGGAGTTAGTGTTTATTTGGAACTGTGAACTGCAGTTTTGGGAGATTTTAAAACATCAGAAGCACAGCTTGATCTAATCAAAGACAGCTGTTCCTTTGAGAATAAACATCCTTGCTAGATCAGAAAGCAGAAATTGAAGAGCTGGACAAAAAAAACAATTGATCCAGTTGAAGAAAACTTTTCATTATAATCAATTGTAATTATTTTACCTTCATTGCGAAAGGCTAAAATGTTTTGGCTTGTTTTTTTCACTCTGCATTGCATTTGAACATAAGTGAAGGGTCATTTCAAGTTAAAAAAATTGAAAAAAGTATTAAAAGCATTTTAAATTGCGTTTAAGATATGACATTAGATACTAAAGTAAAACATTTAGTTTTATTAAAAAATACTGTTGGTAAATATTCAGGTCATTTTATTTTAAATGAAGAAGCCTTGTTTAAAAAGAACAACCCTTTTTCTAAAGTAATCTTTTTCCAAAATTTATTTTTAAAAACATTTGTATTTCACATTTAGTATACACTACTTCATAGTTATAAATATCATTAGGCTTTTAAGCAAAATTTGAATACTTTCAAAATTATGATTGCCATTATAATGGTAAATGTTTAGGGATATTTTCAACTGAAATTTAATTTGGAATACAATATTTTAACCAAATTCTTTAGAAATAAAATCTAAATTTTGAGTTTAGTAAAATGAAATAAGTCTTGAAGTTATGAAATATCTAAGTACAGTTTTAGTTTAACTGTAACCAGAATTCTCCCTCTTAAACTTGTCAATGTAGAAATTCTGCAAAACAGACTTGATTATATTTCTTTCATATTCCAGATGTATGAAAAGAGTGCTGAACTGATGGAATAAGATGGAGTTCCTTAGAGATTTAAAGTTAATCAGTGCACATGTTATATTTTCAATCTTTATCTAGGTACATCCTATTTTAAATTTTATGCCAGGTTAATTATTCAGCAAAACAAAAACTATTCACATTTCATTACTGTATTCAAGAAGCAAGTTAATTTAACATAAAATCATACTTAAAACTTTCATTCTAAACTAAAATCTTTTTTTAGTGATAGCCTTGTGTCTTAACTGGAATTTCAAGATGATAGCCACGGAAGTGGCAGAGCACAGCAAAGCTGTGAAATTTCTTGCATAGCTGTCGTGTTTGGGTCCCTGAATTATCATACCACAAAAATAACGTGACCTTTTTTATAAAGCCATGGGAGAGCATTCTAAATGCTGTGGAAAATCACAGCTGGAGCCATACCACATCAGGCAGGTCAGGTCTCCTGCACTGATGATAAATATACACCCCCATTTTTCCTCAGAAGAAGGACAGTTACCACACTTCTCCCCTAAAGTTCAGGAAGGTTTCTGCATTGAGATCATTCTCTCCTCCCAGATGTGAGAATCAGCAGTTACAGAGTGATGTCAGCAGGAGGTGGTTTTTAGCAATATCAGGACAGCAGGCCAAGCTCCCTCCTGGCGTAATTCCATTACCCAGCATTATTTTGCCTTCCATTTAAAACAGAATTGGCCCTGTCACCATGCTTTCCAGGCAATGCTGCTGCAAGTTCATGTAGAGACCAGAAAAGGAGAAGATGAAAAGAAAAATAAGCAATAAATATACAAATCATTGACATGATCACCTAAATAAATCCAAGATTGTGATACAGAAAGATGACATTGCCCAGGAAAAGACAAACAATGTCAGAGAAACTCAAAAGGCATCCTGGTACTTCGCTTTTATTTCCTTTGCATGTGTAAAGAGTGCTAAATACTTTAGTGTACTCAAAAAACTTATTTTTTAAAAGAATATTTCTTCTCAGATCCCCATAAAGCCTGCCAGATCTACTTGAAAGCAATCCAAGATAAAAGGGACAAGGAATGGAAGGGGTCCTGGCTTTTCTCCTCCCAGTCAATAGCCAGCGCAGTACAATAAGGAATTTATTTCTAGGCTCTGCCCATATTTCCAGACTGCAGTGGGGAACTGCTGACATGCATTACATCACATCAGCTTCACCACCAGTGAGACTGAGACACACTGCTTGCCAGGACTACGCTGCCTGCAGCTTACAGGTAACACATGGTACCTGGGAGCGTGATTAAAGACACAACCAGCACCAAAACTCAAAGAAAAGATGGGAATGAAAGCATTCCTGGCAATGCCTTGTCAAGACTTGAGTAGTTTGTGGTGCTGCAGATGGACACTGAGAGCCTTTCAGCCACACAGAGATGCAGGCTCACACCTTGGCATATTGCTGAGTGCCTTACCTGCTGTCACTGTAACTGCAGTAAATAGGAGAATGAGCAGCATTTTCTTCAGAACAGTGGGTGATAAACCATTAATTGTGTGCTCTTTTTGAATGATCTTTTTTTCAGGGTAAGGATGTGTTCAGCTGCAGCTTTCTACTTTTAGATTTCATATCCCTTCCCATTGCTTAAATTTCCTACTGCTTGCAAGAATTCTCATTTTACCATGTAAAGAAGTATTTCTACATCCTCGTACTCCCTCAAAGTTTGTAAGTTGGCTGCATGCTCTCCTTTTACCTCTAGCAGTCATCACTTAACCAACAAAATCTCCCAGTTCCATTTTCCCCAAAAATAATCCTTCTCTGAACTATTGGTTTGATTTTAGTCATCAGATTCCTTGAAACGCTTCATGCAACCTAGGTCAATCTCTTCAATAAAAAAATCTTAATTGCCTTTCTACATGCCACTGAAGCCATACCTTTTGAATAATTTTACTTTTTTAAAACCCAACAAAAAATGCTCCAGTTGAAATTTTCCAACTAGAGGAGAAGCTGAAAGAACATAGTAAATCAAATTTCAAGTAATTATAGGGTGGAACCTTTACAGGAACTACAGGCATGAGAAAACCACCAAATACATGAGCTGGTATCTGCTACAGAGCACTAAATGCCTACATCTGAGAAAATATCAGTTTAGGCACCCTGCTGTATTCGTGCTTCTCTGCAGTATAATTAAGCACAAAAGCCATGACAGCCTTAATCAGATGATTGCAGCAAATTTAGGTATGGCCCTGCTTAAGGGAAATCCTGTTAGCAATAATTCTTTAACAGAGAAAGAAACTAAAGAGACTTAGGCATAATTATCCATACTGAAGTGAGTGGAGTTCACAGATCAATACAATTGCCAAGCAAAATATATATTTTGATCTGTCTTTTTGATGGAGTCTCCTGTGAACAGATGTATGTATTGTAATTGCAAGCTGCAATGGCAGTGTTGTTCATCCAGGGCTGGACTCCCCCCCGCCTCTCAGCTGTGGATGTTTCTCTCCCTTTCTATGCACAGCTTCCTGCAGCCCTGCTAGGGCACAGCGTCAGTAATGCTGCCCCCAAACCCAGAGAAACAGTCCTGGAGCACCTGCCTTCCCACCCACCACTTGGACCAGCAGCAGAGCACCCAGTTCAGCTTCCCACTGCTCCTGTTCTGGCACAGTAAGATGGTCAGGTAGGAAAATTGTTTTTCTGCTGCTCAAGGAGAAATTTGGCAAGCTCAGACTCCAGAATATTTCAGAGGCATAACCAATCATCTGGTTTATTTACATAATTTCCTTACTCAATTTCTACATCCTAAAGTTCCATCTCATTGCATGTGGGGGGAGAAAAAATGACACCAAACCCAGAGCGCTAGCCCAAGTAAGAGCTGCAGCTTGGCAAGTACATGACAGGAAAGATAATCTTGTCCTAACATCGCTCACCTTGGCAGACCGCAGGACCTTCTTTTCCCCTGCCAGTGACCAGCCATGTCCTCCAACATCCCTTTGTGCTTTTATGTTATTATTAGGATTCAGATGGATGAATTCAATGATCCCAATGTATTTAGTCATCACCTTTAGCTGTAAGCAGTTCTGATTGTAACCTTTTTTTAAAAAAAAACAACTTTTTTTCAATGTTCTCCACTCCTTCCCATCAGTCACTTGCAGATTCATAAAAATTCAATTGTTTGTCTCTCTAATTCAGTTCAAGTATTTTTGCTAAGTCTTGGATGAAATAGCAGCACAACAAGACTAAAAGGGAAGATAGAATCCCAATATTGATCCTCTTTTCTGATGTTTAAGAACTAAGCAGGGCCCCAGAAGAAATTTGACAAAGTCTCACTCTTGCCAACAGTCTGTGAATAGAAAACAATACATTTCTGAGCACTCCTTCGGGTGAAGAATCTTTCACATTTAGAATGGGCACCTCAAGCACTGGCAGTTACACTTACATTTCCAGTTGCGAATAAAAACAAAGTGTTCCTAGGGGAGGAAAAGAACCAGGCACCGAAGCCAAATTCATCAGCACAGAAAAGTGCCTAGTGAGAGCAGGTACAGAACTGTACTTCTCTTCTGAGAAGAGCCCAGCTCCCTTAGCAAGCTGAACACCTACAAGGAGCAGAGGACCTTGTCAGATGGTTCTGACTGTGTTTGTTAGGGCAAGCAGTATGAGGGAGAAGATGGAACAAAGATGAAAGGTGAGGGCTGCACAGTTTCCAAAGGACAGAACAACAATGTTAGCTGCATTTGGTAAGCAAACAGAGCAAGCAAGGGGGCAGGGAGCAGACCTCATAGAATCATAGAATCATAGAATCAACTAGGTTGGAAAAGATCTCTGAGATCAAGTCCAACCCTTGATCCAACACTGTTGTGGTTGTTAGACCATGGCACTAAGTGCCACATCCAGTCTCATATTAAAAACCTCCTGGGATGGAGAATCCACCACCTCCCTGGGCAGCCCATTCCAATGTCTGATCACTCTCTCTGTAAAAACTTTTTTCCTAATATTCAACCTAAACTTCCCCTGGCAGAGTTTAAGACCATGCCCTCTTGTCCTACTGCTGGTTGCCTGGGAAAAGAGACTGACGCCCACCTGGCTACAACCTCCTTTCAGGGAGTTGTAGAGAGTGATGAGGTCTCCCCTGAGCCTCCTCCAGGCTAAACAACCCCAGCTCCCTCAGCCTCTCCTCATAGGACTTGTGCTCAAGTCCCTTCACCTGCCTTGTTACTCTTCTCTGGACCTGCTCCAGCGCCTCAATATCCTTCCTGAACTGAGGGGCCCAGAACTGGACACAGTACTCCAGGTGTGGCCTCACCAGCACTGAGTACAGGGGAAGAATCACTTCCCTGGTCCTGCTGGCCACACTGTTCCTGATCCAGGCCAGGATGCCATTGGCCTTCTTGGCCACCTGGGCACACTGCTGGCTCATGTTCAGCTTCCTGTCAATCCAAATTCAATGTGAAAAAGCACTGCCTGTTGCACAGGAACACTTCTCCCCCTCTCCCTATCCTATCCAGGAGCCATGACCCTCTGCCCAAGCAGCCATAAGGAGACCAGCAGGCTGCAGAACCAGATGAAGGAGGAAGGCACAATGTCCCACGTGCTTTACTACAAAGACAGGAGGCTGTGAGTCTGTCAGGCTTAAGGACCTTATTGCAGGATAAGACACTGCTGGCACTCAGGAGCTTGATCTAGATAATGATGTTTAAATATAATCTTTGCCATCCAATGATGAAGAGAAGGTAAAGCAGTTCCAGTACAAATCTTTCTCTACCCAGCAGAGAAGGAGAGGGAGATATGGTTTGGATTAAACAGCTGGTAGTAATCTTTAAATATTTGTCAGCTACCACTGTTGTCTCCTGGATTTTCAGTTGCAGCTGTTGCAACCAGCAGTACCATCTGCCTTGAAGAGCCTGGCCAAGATCCTGCTCATTTTGTTGACTTTTTGCATGTAATTTTTTTTCCTCCTTGATTTTTTTTACCAATTCCTGAGGCATTCCTCTGTCTTACCCTGACAGAGGCTTGTAGTTCTCCCTCCTCCTCACAATGAGAGCAGATTCTGCAGCATCCTCCCCTCAGGAAGGAATAGATTTGCTGCAGCCACCTGTCCTCTACAGTCTCTCATTTCAGCTCTGAAACCAAGTTACTGTTTCACAGACCCTGTTTGCCTTTCGGTGGCTGTCCTTGTGGCTCCCCTCCAGCACACAACATCAATTTGGAGGGATTTTGAATTTGCTTTCTTCCCCTCTGAGCAGCTCATGCTGGTGAAGTCATCTGTCCAAACCAAAAGAACTGCTGCCCCAAAACCACTGTAAATTTTTGTAATCCCTTCCCTAGGGAGTACTGACCAGCATCCAGGCAGGACAAAAAGACAAAAGAGTCTGGTCTCACATGGTTGCAACACGGATTTGCAAAAGAAGGTATTATCTCGTTATTTCAACGTGGAGGAAAGAATACAAGACCCTGACTGAGACAGCTGGGATTGTCATGTAATGCCATCATTACATTGTCCTTCCAGAAATAAGGTTCATTGTAGGCTATGGAGATAAGTGGTCACTGTGACATACACATAATCACATTGATCCAGAAAGTTGTGCAAGCGTGAGTTTAATGCTTCTGAGAACCAGGTGTGACATTGCTCAGAAAAAAATCCTTTCAACATCAGAGGCAGATATGTCCTGGGCATATCTGTCCTGTGATGTGATCAGAGCTTTCACCCTGACTTTGGTCCATCTGCTGGGGGGAACAAAACAAATCTGAACTCCACATAACTGGAATGTCAGTACTTGTTACCTCCAAGAGCTAGATCTAGTGGCAGTAATTTTAAGAAAGTCCCAAAGAAGCTGTTCATTATTTTACTGGGACATTCAGGTTGAGTTTTAAAACACCAAGAACTGATTTTTAGACTCAGCATTAAAAAAAAAATTCAATGGGATCAGATCAACATTCAGGGGAAGGGAAAAAAAATCATATGCCATAAAATCCCCTCAAAATAATGATGCTAAAAGCACTCAGATGCAATAGTCCATCATAAAAATCCCATCAGATTTAGGAGCCTGGGGCTCCAGTTTTAGTTTCACAGTAATGAATTAACCTCTGGCTAACCTGAAATGAACATTTCTGATCGCATTCCCAAGTTATCAGCTGTGTGCTACCATAAAAGCTGCAATGAAAAATTCAGAACTAATCGTGATATAGCAGTAGCTAGAATTGGCAGCAGGCATGCCCAACTACCACTTTCATTTATAAGTAACCAAGATAATGTGAAAAAGCCTCCACACCACATGTGGACATGACTGATAGGAAAACTAAGTTACCAATTCATCCCTGTTAATTTTGATTATGATAGATTGTGTGCACTGTTGACACATGTACTGAAAGTATCTCAACTTTGAAGAGAGAAGATCTAGTTTGTAGCTTTGAAAGCAAGAATCATGTATTCATAACCATGTTCTGGGTAAGGAAAGCAAATAGCCTCTGAAATTGTACTGAGCAAACACACAGAGCTTTGTGGGACTTAGTACCTGCACTTCTTTAAGAAGAGGGCAGGCTGCTAACTTTCCATCCAATAGGAAGGCAGGCAGGAGACACAGCATCTTCCCTGGAAACCTTTGCCCTGTCATGGTTGTAGGAAGGAATTCCCACTGCTTTGGATGGGCATTACAAGATTTTTTTCTGAGAGCATAAGGTGGCATCACCTGGAAGAGGGCTGTAGACAAATAAGTACCTTGATGAAGTGGCTTAGTAAAGAAAGACCAATAAGAGCTTTGGGAATAATGTTGCTGAATTACATAAGGCTCAGAGACAAAAAGGTATGTAAGCTAAGAAGATCTTCCAGGGATCCAGGTAACCCTCAAACCTACTGTAACCTGGCTGAAGCTGGAAGAAATGCACCAGGGAGTAATATAGCCTGCTCATATAAAAAAACACAGGATAAATGGAAAAACATAGATTTTTCAGGGGTCGCTCCCTTCACAAGACACCATTTATACAATAGTTTTGAGATTATTTTTTTTTGACCTTCACTAGAGGAAGGCAAGCAACTTGTCCTACACATGCAGAACTTTTTTTCTGAGGCACTATCTGAACTAGGGAGATATAAAACTCCAGGTTTTTCTGCATTTTATAGGTGTTTTTCCAGCTATTAAAAGGACTCGTTTCTGAGTGACAATGAGATGACTGGGTTTTGTCTTTATCTTCCCTCTGTGACTTCCCATATGGTCTCTTCTCAGCAAAAATCTGCAAGGTGGGAATGAGAATAAGCTCTTCTGTGCAGCTGCTGCTTTGGGGCCCTGACAAGAGCAGGTATCCAGACGCAACAGAGGCACAATCCTGCTCCTGTAGGTGCTGTGCACTTACAGCTACCATGTCTCATGGCAGTGATGCATATAAAATGGCACAGAGAACTACATCACTGCACTGCTTCCCCCGTACCTCTGTTGTACTTTTTCATGAGTGTGGAACATCAGTATGAAACAAGGTAGCAGTGCTGAGGAGTTTTTCTCCACAACCAGGAAGGAGAGTCTAGGCTCACAGCCTCACTCAGAGAGGTGGAATTTTATTCCTATCCCTCGACATAGAGTTATAGACTTGTTTGGGTTAAAAGGGGCCTTTAAGGATCATCTACTCACAGCTCTTCTGCCATGGGCAAGGACATCTTTCCCTAGGTCAGGGCCCTGTCCAACCTGACCTTATACACTTCCAATGATGATGGGCCATCTACAGCTTCTAGGCATCTCATGTTAATGGGAACTGCAAGTGAATACTTGCCTCTGTTGCCTGCATATCGTGACAGGTTTAGAATTAGGGCTGCACAGAAGAAGGAAGTAGTTTCACAAAGTATTTTGATGTTTGGTTTAGTTCCATATTGCAGTCGCAGTTGCACAACAAGAAAGCACTTCAAAATTCCAAAGACACCCCAGACCCAAAGCAGGGCAGCTGTCTGGGTGCACCAGGGTTCTAAATCATGGGGGGTTCACATCCTTCTATTTCCGAGGCCATTCCACAGAGCCTCTTCCAGAGTCCTTGATCAGGGAAGCCTGAGGTGGCCAAAAACAAAACCAGACACGATCAAGCTGGCGTAAAGGTAGTCAGGTTTTGCCACCACCCAACATTGTCTCCCTTGAAACTTTATCCAAATCAAAAGGTGTCTTTGAAAGGCTTATTTCAATAGAGCCACAGATATTAGCCAACATCTCCCAGAAAGTTTCATGCCCAACTCCAGCCATGCTTGTTGACAGCCTCCTCTATGTCATATCATCAAGTCACTGGCTGTCACATCTCCTGCTGTCTTGTTAACACTGTCCTCTTCTCATGTAGGGCTGAAGTGGCATTAACTTTCTGGATGGATTGTTTCCACCTAACATATGACAGAGAGCTGTCAGTACCGATTCAGCTGAGAAAGTCCCTGGGGATCACTGTCAATTCAGAGACCACAACCCTAAGAAAGTTTATTTGTATGCGGAGAATCTGATTTATATCCCTAATACTGTAAGGTATCTGCACCTTTAATCATGATTGCTTTTACCAACTCAAATATTTTTAAAAGAAAACAAGTAATTAAATAAAAGCAGCCTGCTATCAGGAACCACT